TGTGTGTGTGCGTGTGTGTGTGTGCGTGTGTGTGTACGTGTGCGTGTGTGGGTGTCTTTTCTTTTGGAGGTTTTCGGAACGGACGGTGAAATACATATTATACTACAGTACATATGTCACAATAATTTCACAGTGAAGCAGAAACTAGAGCAGTAACATGATTTTGGGACCATTTATTTTACAAATAACAAGAATGAAAGGTCGCGCGTTTACTTTAACCAAGGACTATAGTAGTGACTAGTACGTAGTGTATCTAACATGCAGGGCTCGAAATTTAGAGGCAATCCCGTAATCCGTAGGGTAAATTACTCTACGGATTTGTTCATAAGGAAACCTGAAGGAAATCCGTACGGATTACTGAAAAATAACTTGCCGTTACACTACTCCTTCCACCTCTGCAATTATCTTCTTAAAATCATTAAATGTACACAGAGCAGACACAGAGTCTGTGGTGGCAGAGCCATTTTATACCGCATTTCAATCAACTATCTGACAAATCTGTACAATAAAATGCTGAGCTCCCAACGCTAAAATAGTAATGTTTAACTTTAAGGTATTTTATTCAGGACGGTTTGTCCTGTATGCAATTTTTTCTTTCATAATAAAATTTTGCCTATAACCTGTACGGATTACTTAGATTTTGAGCGGATTTGCTCATTTGTGAAGAAACAAATCCGTACGGATTAGTTCTCAAACTGGGGAAATTCGAGCCCTGAACATGCTCAACTAGGCGCAAGGAATACCACTTTCACATACCTTTGATAATTCAATCACCAAATGTAGGTATTGCTATTTCATACACTTCAAGAAATAGAAATCTACAGCATTGAAGTCTTTTTCAAATGGACTGACGCATTAATAGAACGCGTAGTAATTTTTCTTTCTCAACTCATCCAGGCTACAACGATGAATGGGAGTTGGTTCTGAAGGCGTCCATAGGCGTGCCAATGAATATCTACGATCTGTGGATGTCTGATAGTGTGCTAAACGCCGTCAACCCAGAAGCGATGAGCATTAGTTCACGCTACCGAATAAACTACAAGTCGGCCAGCTCAAACAACTGGGAAAACATAATAAAGGTCAGCCGTATGAATATATTACATTACTGAGTGACTATAGAAATAGAGTAAATGAACCCGTGGGGAGATTACACGCTCATTAGCGAAGCTATAACGAAACTATATACTGCTGCTGCTACTACTGCTACTGGTACTGCTATACTGCTACTGCTACTGCTACTAGTACTGCTAATGATACCGCTACTGCTACTGCTACTTCCGCTGCTGTTACTGCTAGACATACGTTAAATAGCAATATGCAAACGACTATTTTAACTTCGCAGGTTAAAGTGTCACTTCTAAAGGCAGATGAGGAAGTCGTATTCGTTGACTTTAACGCGGTGTGACAGCAACAAAGTAAATCTGGCTTNTTTCAGTCTGACTGAATTCAGTATTGACGATAATTTTGCATGTAGAATATCTATTTAGTCGTTTACTGGGGCAAAGCCTACTTAAGAACGAAAATTTTGCTTTCTAAAATTACGGATCTATTGTCAAACATTATTTGGAGTGACACTATAAACAACAGTAGCCTTCCGCCAATTGTTCACCAATGTTGCACTTAACTACTCCATCTCCGGAAAAGCCCTT